AAAAGAGGGTGGCAATCACTCATTATGATCGTCTTCTTTCCACCCATTATGCACACCACATTTTTTGTCTAATCTGCACCGTAAGTGTGTTATTACATACATGTAAATACGAGTGGAAATTATAGCACTATTTTCTGCTCTAGGACGAAAAAGAGAGCCCTAGTATGGAATGTAAGCCCTACGATGGAAATTTTTTCCTTTTCCGCACTTTTTCGCCCATAAATTTATTTTCCGTCCAAGGACTCAATCCTCCGCTCTTGAGCAACAAAGTACTATTTTCAGCCCGATTTACATGCAAATAACAGCATAGTACTTTCGGTGGTGGCAGGGCAAAAAGATATTTTCAACATGTATGTAACCATGGTACATGTATGTAATAAAGTTTTTTAACAAACTCAAAGAGTTTTTTTATAACATGTGAATAAAAACTACCATTTTCGGCGCCTATAAAGTGAACCAAAAATAGAGTTCCCGAACATCACAAAGTGGAACGAGAATTCTTCTTCAATGCATAAATTAATGATTTGATTCAATTTACATTCACTCGTTTTATTCTGGTAGAAATGTAGCAGTCGTGCCTTACATGCAAAAACACAGCTTGTATAAATTTTACCGCTTGTTTTTTTTCAGATTTAAAAATGAAAATTAATCCGTTAAACGTTCTAAATTTATTATTAGTATACTTTCAAGCGTTAAACATACCAAATAGTGTCACTAATTATCATGAAACAGAGTTGGCCGAAAAAATAAAAGAAATTTTAATAGATGCAACACATGATTTCAACGATGTAGAAATGATTACTGATGACTTTTTGGATTTTCAAGAAGAGTATAAAGACTATAATGCAAAAATAATTGAAGATGAAGTGCAACATTATTTTCCTGATCCGGATATAGCACCAACTCAATGTACAGCAGATAATGAAGAACTAGATTTTGAATACAAAACAAGAGCTTTAGATTTTTGGAGAAGTAGCAAACCGAAGCAAAACTTAAGTATCAAAACAGTGCAAAACAGATTCAAAAAAGTATTATCTATTAGTCAGCTACGTCGTTGGGCTCATTCAATTAATAAAGGTGGCACGTATAGAGAAAAAGTAGCACAAATTTGTCAGTATACCCTGGATAATTTTAAAGCAGCTCTCGACAGTGGTTCAATTATCCATCATGAAGATATAATTCAATGGGCCTTTCAAGCTAAAAAAGAAATTGGTTTTGACGATATTAGATTCAAAGCTCCTAAATACTGGTTACTCAAATTTAAGCAAGCACACAGAATAGTTTCTAGGAAAATAAATAAGTTCATAACAAGAAAAACGCTAGAAAGTAGTACAGAACTTATGGCTAAAGCTGAAGCATTTACCGATGACGTTAAATCGTGTATACCAAGGATTGGACTCAAAAATTTGTATAATTTAGATCAGAGCGGATTTTAGCTAGAAATGTATTCTGGAAAAACTTTAGCAGTAGAAGGAGAAAAGCAAGTGCAATGTCTGCTACAGTCAATTTCAGCAACAACGCATAGTTATACTATACAGCCACTAATATCAGTTACTGGACAACTGTTGTCACCGCTATTTCTAGTTTTAAAGGAACCAACTGGCAAGTTTGGCCCTATTGCAGAACAAAACATATTTAGACCAGAAAACGTGTACGTGAAAGCAGCCAAATCTGGAAAATTAACAACAAGGGAACTAATAACAATTTTTACATTGTAATATCGTAGATCAGTTAAGTAGTAAGTCGTTTAATTGCAGATCACTTCAAAATCTGGTTGGAAAAAATATTTTATCCCCATGTAGGCCATCACTTAATATTATTACTTGATTCGTGGAGTGGCCATTGTGACAATGTTATAGAAGAAACGATGCCACAAAATAAAATTATTAACATAAAAAAAATTCCAACTTGAACCACAGGAAAAATATAACCACTTGATGTCTATGGATTCCGTATTTGAAAAAACTTTGTCCGAACATTTTCTGATAATGTAATGTTAATGAATCATGATATGAATTTGCATGTGAGAAATAATATAATTAAACTTCAATCATTGGTTCACAACCAACTGTTTTCACCGAGATATATAGATTTGTTTAAATATTCCTGGTATAAAAGCGGTTACGTCAATGAAAAATCAGATAAATTTGATAATCCTATAGATTTCAGTTTTGGAAAGTCTTGTGCAACACATTGTGAAATAGAAGGGTGCACAAACATTGCAATTGTACGGTGTGGTTGGTGCAAAAAAGCATTGTGCTTTAAACACTTTGATAAAAACTACCACTATTGTAAAAACTTCGTAAAATTATATATTTTATGCTCAATACAAAAAATACACTATGGCAAAAGATGAAAGGTTGTAGATTATTATTATTATACTCTAATATTGTAACAAAATTAACGAACTGCCACTATTTTCTTATGCGTGGGTTAGTGAGGCTCTTTAGCTCATTGCAATTAAGGAAGAAAAGAGAGGACAGGTCATAAATTTATTAGTACACGACACTTTTATCTAAGCGAACTCGTCATATTATTATTAATATCCCAAAGAAATATCCCAGAATCCCACACACAGAATTTTCTTGTTCACAAATTTAGGAATTTGAGGTGGTTTGGTTAAAAAGCACCGGCATCTAGCCTATTTGTTGCTTAGGGGTTTAGGGTTTAAGGCTTTTTAGTTCACATGTACAGGCTACAAAGATCACACATTTGTAAACAAGTTTTTATGAAAGTAAAAATTTTTTTTCGACATTTTCGTCCACCATATTGGTTTCGCCATTTTGAATTTTCAAAATCTGTTTGTAAAGAGCGATCTCGAAAACCCCTATATATAAACCTTCTACAAAATATTATGGATTGAAATATACTTATAGTTATTTTGTGTTAGGGGTGGTTTACCTCCCTTAAGGGTAATATTTATTAAAACATCGAAAGACGTCAACTAAATTTTGTTATTATGGATGTTTAAACATTTTTACAAATTTTTAGTCGGTTTAAATTTTTTTATTATAAAATTATGCCAAAAAATATATGTTTTCAACCCCTAAAAAATAGTGGATGCTACCCTTACTCTTCAAATCACCATGAAACACTTGCTCCTTTTGTAAGAAATAATTTCCAATTTGTTTCACTGAAAAATATTAATTTTAAGCCGAGATATTAAATAAAACGCTTTTTGGGGGTTAACTTTAGGGGAGGTTTTTACCCCTTAAAAGTGAAAATTAGCCGATAAAAATAAATACGTTCTCTTATTTTTTTATGTTCTACAGTATGTATCAAAATCATCAAAATCGATGAGTTAGGGTTGAGTACCTTTCCTTGTTAGACGAATGAATCCATATTTTCATGCAAGCGGGCACTATTTATATATAAAGTCTATGCATTTGTATATACAGATATGTATGAATTACAGCAGCACATGAACGATAATGAATTTAATAAATTTACTAAAAAAGGCTATTTTACAATTCGGAGAACAAATATATTTTGGTCAAGAGTTTCGACAAATATGGCAATAGAATAGGTTTCTATGAGAAGCATGAAGACGAAGGTATTATCACTCGTAGAAGAGGCATTGTAGATGTAGTACTAGCTAAATGAGTATTAATTATGCCAGTTGTCACTGAAATCAGTGATTATGTGCAAACATTTTGCAATGTATCTATCGTTTCATCTGAACAATATGTTAACTCGCGGGGATCGAAAATACTTGGTTTGCATGGGCAACTTCGAGATTTTCGTTTATTAATTACTGCCTAGTTGCTGGCTCGAACTAGACTGACTTACTCTCCATCCTCTATTCTTTCCCTCTCCATGTTAAACAAGGAGAGTGCTCGTACCTGTTTTCCACAGCGCGGTGCGCCCTTCCCCTCCTTCGCTTAGTTCACTTTTCCAATTCTCTCTCGCTATTCGCTGCTCATCCTTTTCCACAAATATCAGCAAATTTGATGATTGCTCAAATCAAACTATTCGAATTTAATTTGAATAGTTTGATAGAAATTTCTTAGATAAATTTACCAAATGTAGAGAAAAAGAAAAACGCATACCCTTGCAAATATTTTAAAACACTTTCAGTGTAAAAAAATTTGTTTATTCAAGTAAGGATTTAATACGACCGTCCGCTGAGAATAACTCTTGATTACATGCTATTATAGCCGTATAAAGTTTGTGTGCGTTTTAACAAATTACGTGACAAAGTTCCCTTGACACTGGTAAAGTAGTATGAGAGTATCGCAATCATGGAGTAAAAGTACAGTAAACAAATATGCATGAATCATAGTAAGACTCAACAAGTACATATATTATTATAAAGCAATGCAGTGTACTAAGGTCGTAGTGAAGGTTAAAGAAAGCAAGGACTAGACAAGCTATAGTGAAAGAAAAAATAGAGAGTCATTCTGCTCGGAATAATAATTACTGAGATAATTGGTTAGCTTATAAAAGCGCTTATCATTTATGTGCAAACTCGCAGTATACAGTGTCACGTAACTATCGATGGAAATTAAACTACGACAAAAAAGCAGCTGATTGCGCTGCGTAAGATCAATACATCCATAAAGCAACAAAAAATGTGCAGACAGTCTAGAATGAATTAGTTATTTTTAACACGTACTCGAAATACAAAACAATGTAACAAGTTTGCTGATGAACACGTGATGCAGAACAGAAATCAATAATTGAACGGCGCTCTGAAACTCTCAAATTCGTTTGTTCGCTATTGCGAGAAAGCCGGTTGTCTTATGCTCAGCATTCACACACCGAGTAGTATCTATCTTTCTCGCATCTTTTTTTAACTCAAAGCTTACTTTGCTTCACCCACGACTCGGCCTCTACTGCGATAATCAATAAAGAGATTTTACGTTTCACAGGATTACCCACAGAAAGACTGTGACGAAGAAACTTACTGAACATAACATTTTACTAACATGAAGAATTTATTTTATTTTTTAAATTATTTAATTTAATTTTGATAATATATCATTTTATTTCATACATACTTGTAACAAAAATCAGCAGCATGCTTGTAAAATCTTCGCAATGTACCATTCACAGGTGGAGTAGCACAAAATTTAATGTCAGGACATAAATTATAACGTCCAGATTTACAGAATTCACAAATCCGGCATGGAACACCAGGCTCGATGGCCACTCTATCGCCAACCTTTAAATAAGAATAGGTATTACATATATATTTATTGTTACTTGTCTATAATTTAATAGTGGTATACTATAATATTTCTAAGAATACAATTCACTTAATAAGGTAATTTCAGTTAACATTTGATCATTAGGGTATGCAGATATGCCAATATTGTACTCTACCTGTGATAGGTGACAACTCGCGCGAGGCGAGTTTGTCCCGTACGAAGACCTTTTTAACAGCCGAGCGGCCTTTTTAACTCGGGCGGCAGTTAGGCTTTCGGGTACCCCGACCCGTTCGCGCGTCAATAATGAAATCCCTGTTAATTATAATCCGACACTTGATATCGCAATTGTAAAATAATTAATTGAACGCTTATAACGATTTTCGCTTGTTTATTAAAAAGAAAAATGTAATAGCGATTTTCTTTAATATAATGGGGAAGCATATGGATACACTTATAGGCGTTTATATTTATAATATTTATGCTAGTCTCTTTCACAACATAAATAAGTTAAGTAGAATAGAGAGATATATATATAAATTCTCAGACGCGTAGTTTCCACCTCGCGATGTCTATTATTTTTTGGTTACATAAAAAGTGTTACTCACTTTGTATAAATATTGTAAATATAAATCGGTCCAAAATATTATTTGCTTCGTGATGTGGCCAATCACTTTTTTTTGAATCTGGTCAGATTAACTGGTCCAAAATATTTTTTTATCCAATAGTGTGGCAACACACAAGAAAATGATAATTCCTATGATTTTCGTTTACACAAAATTATTAAAACGAATGTACTCGACACTTCTTGGTAATTAATTATAACTCGAACAATTATATTCTCAAACTCTTATTGTGGATTTAACTTCAGTAGGAAAAATGCAGCCTTCTTAGTTGAGCGCTCACTGCTAACTGGCTAATCTCTCCTCGTTGTTTTTGTCGGTTCATTATATATCCTTTGTCCCTCGCATTCCATCTCTCTCTCGCACATATGCTTTAGACGTTTACGCTTCTCGTATCGGCTCGTCTTACCTAGCTAAGCACGCTGACTGCAGCATGCTGTCGCAGCCTGCTGCCGCAGCGTGAATCAGCCTTTGCCGCTCATTCCCACCGAGTAGCGCACATGAATATTGCTAGCTATACTATGTCCGGACGGAAATTGCGAGAGCGAAATATTATTTGACAAAATACAATTATAACACAATGAAACGTCACGTAACATCCCTCCCCCCTTAGAATCGTTGCCGTCCTCGGTAACGTTTTGGGTCTAACTAGGGTAGTACAAGAAGAAAATAATAATATACATAATAATGATTTTTTATGGCGGAATCGGAAAGAGCGGAAAATTTTACGTCCAGATATGTATTGAGGTATGAGGTTGAGGTAACCCCTAGAGGTCAACTGGAGGTCAAAGTATGAATTCTTAAAAATCTCGCGAATTCAGTGGTTAAACAAAACAAACAAAAAGATAACCCCAGGTAACTTTCAACGGTGCTCTTTAATTTGTCCTTGAACCTCATTTTCAAGGTTATTTTGAGGTCAACCTCATTTTTTTTAATGGGTACCCCTATTTTTTATGGCGGAATCGAAAAAAGTGAAGACTCTCACGTATGGATGAGTTGAGGTTTGAGGTTTATGTGACCTCTAGGGGTCAGATGAAGGTCGAACTGTGGCTTTGTAATAGTACCGGGATTTTGGTGGTACAAGGAAGCAAATAAAGGTCATGGAAACCCCCATTTTCGACAGCGGCAATCGAAAGAGCGGAAAATTTCACATCGAAATATCTACTTAGATCATAAGTCAAGGGCGAACTTAAAGTTTAACGTCAGTCGAAGGTCATCCAAACTTAAAGACGCCCTAAAATTTTTTAAAGTTTTTTTCATAATGGAGAAGGGTATTTATTTAGTATTTGCCCATCGGAGATCCGTGACCTTGAATTTAACCTTCAACCTCATTATCAAGGTTTTTTCAAGATCAATTTTTTTTACTTTTAGCGTTACCCAGGAACAACGACGTGGACGTAGTAAAATACCCCTTTGGGGTGCTTTATTTTCGTGAGTTCCCCTCGTCTCTCACGATCGGGGTGCTTGATTTTCGTGAGTTCCCCTCGCCTATCAACAATGATTTTTACGCTTATTTTCTTAATAACTTGATTAGCCGGTTAAACTTTTTAAGGTTACTATCCCATATCTATTCATTGAAAATCCACTAACAATTTCACTTGGTTCTATCCTTAGGAAATGTACTATGCCTAACTTTATCGTTTTGAGCTTATTCTTCGGGACAATTGTATTTTCAAAAATTAATATTTAAAAAAGCAACATATTTGAAAAGATTTTACCATTCGAAAATCTCCATAAAGCATTAGTGCATTAGTCGGACTGTAGTAGAACTTTTTTGTAAAAGTACTCAAATTATAATTTTCATTTTTTGAAAACATTTATTTGGGTTGCAAGCTTTATGTTTTTAATTCTGATTGATTTTTGAGTAAATTTCGATTCGCTGACTTAAAATGGAACGCCTCACTGAACGAGAAAGAATATCACTTCTTATGATGAGAGGCTGGGGTGGAGTAGAAAGATCTTACAGGGCAGTGAGAAATCTTTTTAATGAGACATTTCGGGTTAATAGAACTCCAATTGCTATGTCTACTGTTCAGAATACTATTTCAAGGTTTGTAAATTTTGGCCATGTCAGAAATCTACCTAAGTCAGGCAGACCACGCTCAGCAACAAATAAAGAGAATTTATTAAATGTTCTATTATCATTCACTGAAAATCCACATAATTCCATCCGCAGAGTTGCTCAAGAGCATGACATAAGTACATCGTCCGTACATATCATTTTAAAAACAGCAAAATTCCATCCGTTTAAAGTACACCTGGTTCACAAGTTGAATGAAGACGATTTCGATCGACGTGTTGAGTTTTGTGAAGATATGATGGCACGCATAATTGAAAATCCAAATCTTCCATTAAACATAGTTTTCTCTGATGAAGCAACTTTTCAACTTGACGGAACATTAAATCGACATAATTGCAGATACTGGGGTGCGGAAAATCCACACTGGATGCGAGAAGATGAATCGCAATATCCGCAGAAGTTGAATGTTTGGGCTGGAATAGTGAATAATCGAATCATAGGGCCATTCTTTATTGATGGTAACTTAAACGCTCAAAATTATGAAGAGATGCTTCGTAATCAAATAGTTCCAGCAATTAGAGAAATAGTCGGAGACAACTTCGAAAATACATGGTATCAGCAGGATGGTGCTGCAGCTCACTATGGACGAGACGTTCGAATTTACTTAGATGAGATGTTTGATAATCGGTGGATAGGAAGGAGAGGCACAATTGAATGGCCAGTTAGGTCCCCCGATTTGACGCCTTTAGATTATTTCAATTGGGGTTATCTAAAGGATCGGGTATACCAAACTAAACCCCAAAACTTGGACGAATTACGTCAAAGGATCATAGACGAATCAGCTCTCATTCCCACTGAAATGATCCAAAATGCTGTTGATGCTTTTTACCACCGATTAGCTTACTGTCAAGAAGTGAACGGTGAACAATTCGAGCACTTAAAATAAGATGTGCTGATGTAAGATAAATCATACGTGAGAGGCCAGGGGAACTCACGAAAATCAAGCACCTCGATCGTGAGAGGCGAGAGGAAATCACGAAAATCAAGCACCCCGATCGTGAGAGGCGAGGGGAACTCACGAAAATCGAGCACCCCGATCGTGAGAGGCGAGGGGAACTCACGAAAATAAAGCACCCCGATCGTGAGATTTTTACTACGTCCACGTCGTTGTTCCTGGGTAACGCTAAAAGTAAAAAAAATTGATCTTGAAAAAACCTTGATAATGAGGTTGAAGGTTAAATTCAAGGTCACGGATCTCCGATGGGCAAATACTAAATAAATACCCTTCTCCATTATGAAAAAAACTTTAAAAAATTTTAGGGCGTCTTTAAGTTTGGATGATCTTCGACTGACGTTAAACTTTAAGTTCGCCCTTGACTTATGATCTAAGTAGATATTTGGATGTGAAATTTTCCGCTCTTTCGATTGCCGCTGTCGAAAATGGGGGTTTCCATGACCTTTATTTGCTTCCTTGTACCACCAAAATCCCGGTACTATTACAAAGCCACAGTTCGACCTTCATCTGACCCCTAGAGGTCACATTAACCTCAAACCTCAACTCATCCATACGTGAGAGTCTTCACTTTTTTTGATTCCGCCATAAAAAATAGGGGTACCCATTAAAAAAAATGAGGTTGACCTCAAAATAACCTTGAAAATGAGGTTCAAGGACAAATTAAAGAGCACCGTTGAAAGTTACCTGGGGTTATCTTTTTGTTTGTTTTGTTTAACCACTGAATTCGCGAGATTTTTAAGAATTCATACTTTGACCTCCAGTTGACCTCTAGGGGTTACCTCAACCTCATACCTCAATACATATCTGGACGTAAAATTTTCCGCTCTTTCCGATTCCGCCATAAAAAATAGAGGTTTCCATTTAAAAAAATGAGGTTGACCTCAAAATAACCTTGAAAATGAGGTTCAAGGTCAAATCCAAGGTTACCATCGGATTCCTCGTAAAAAGTTACTTCAAGAACAACCTTCACCCGGTTAAAAAAATAACCGGCTTAAAAAATTTCTCAGGTGTATCGTTACTTTTTGGACACCCTGTATAAGCAAAATAATTAATAGAAGGAGGCGAAATCTCGTTAATTTGGTCCAATCTTTATTTGTGTAACGCAGGTTGGCGGTCATCCTGTCCGGTTGTTAGGTCTAGCCCCTCTAAGTCTTGCAGACAGGAAATTTGGTCCTGGAGTAACGAAATTTGGTCCTGTGGTTTGGTTGAGGGAGTTTGCAAAAACAAGGTCAGCTTGTTTATACTATCATAGGGGGACCCGTTGTGATCGTAGGTCCCTAGATTACAGTCTCGCAAATATTGGTCCCAATCGGAAAGGTACACTGCCCTTCCACAGAACTAATGCCTTCTCTGCACATT